AAGTAAAATAACTTAGTTACCTTTGAAATATAAAAAATACATTCCAAGAACTTTGTAGTCTTTTCATTTTTTTTAACAATAAAAATATTTAATTACTCTTAAAAGCAAAATCTACACAACTATCTTCCGTTGGCTTTTTCATACTTTTATCCTGATTTTTTTATTATTATTAAGTTGATGTAGAGATATTTTTATATTTTAATAAATATTAAATATTATATAAAAAACATTTATGGGTTCATGCACTACACATGAAACCAAATAAGCAAAGCATTTGATGTTATCCTGTAACCAAACATTACCTGTCGCAGGGGTGCTTAAATTTTCTCAATGGTCTTTATATGATCTGGTGGAGTGTATAACCAACGAGCTTCTGTTTTGGCAACAATGAGTTTTTTCTTTTTTTTTCTCCTTAGTTTTTGCGCCTTAGCCATTAAAATTTCAAAACAGCCCTTCATTTTATTTTTTTATTAGATTTCATCTCAACTTTTTTTATGATTATTTGTTTTATTTTGAAGAATTTATAAAATTATATTTCTTTCCAATTTCACACCCATTCAATTTTTTCATCTTTTAAATTTGGTTATTATTATTTTAGTTGTTATTTTTTTTACTTTATATAATTATTTAAATTGATTTTTTTTATATAATTTCATCATTCTTAAGTTTTTTTTCCTTTTAGATTTGATCCTTATTTTATTATTCTTTTTTCTTTACTTTGAAAAATTTTTTAAATTGATTTTTTCATTTTATCTTTTAATATTAAATTGGTTAGAAATTGAGTTTTTTAATTAAGCTTGAGTCTAAAATTTTATAAGTTACAAGTTTTAAAGATTAACCTAGGTCTAGGAGGTTTGTTCGAGTTTTTTTTATTTTTTAAAATTTATTTTTTCAGTTTCATCCTTTAACATTCAATTAAAGACTGAATTTCATTATTTTTATTTATTTACTTTCTATGAAATTTTTCATTATTTTAAAACCTAACCTGATCCAACATGTTGACATATAACCCGAGTGACTTGAGGCAGAGGCCAGGTCGTGTTTCAACAAAAATAAAGGAATATTAGCTCAATATGACTTGGTCAAAAATCTAGGTCAACTTAGGAAAAATCAAGTTAAAACTCAATCAAAACTTGTTGATTTTTTTTTAAAAAAAATTCTCAAAATGATGTTATTTTTACTTTTTTATAAAATAAAAAAAATTAGTTGACCTAGGTTAGCCTGAGTTAACCTACTTGACTTGTGACCAAAATTTACTCCGAGACAAGTTAAAGAACTATGGATTTTTTCACTAATTTTTAAAATAACTTGGATTATTTCGGGTATTTTTATTTGTCGTTCTTTGTTGAGTATTATTTGGCTAATTTTTAAAATGATTTTTTTATTTTTTCCATCAATATTAAATTGGTTGAGAATTGAGCTTCTTAACTCAACCCGAGTCTAAGATTTCATGGGTTATGGATTTGAGAAATTAGCACATGTTTAGGTGGTTCACCCAATTTCACTTGTTTTTTTTCTTTTTTAGGTTAATGTTTTTTAACTTTTATCATTTAGCATTTATTCAATGTCATCGTGCAAGCTTTTACAACGATGTTAGAATCGCCTCAATGAGCTTTTTCTAATGATGGGGTGATGTCTAAGATGAAGAAATGATAAGTCTTCAATGAGCTTTTCTTTCTTTTTCTCCCAAGCATGATATTAACATTTTGTTTTTACATGTAATTATTGTAAAACAAAAAAATTGTTTGTTTTATTTACTATAAATGCTTTTTTTAATCATATTACTAAACTAAGCTAGCTTATTAAACTCAGTCAAGTTAATGATTGGGCTCTTAAATTTTTATTTTTTTTAAAAAAATTATTGGTGTAGCCTTAACATTTTTTTTTATGTTAGAAAAATTTAACTATGTCGACGGCATAGCAGTAGTCACCCTTAACTAATATTATCAAAGTGTTCGTTTTATTATGATGGCTACCGGAAGCTTATATGGTCGTTAACTTCAGGACCTGTAGAATTAGTCATGGTGCTTGTAAGCTGGCCCGGACATCCACGTTAATCTAAAAAAAAAAAAATTCATTTTATTTTTTAATTATTTGTACAGGAAGCCCACAACATTGAGCATTTTCGGGTTGTTTGAAAACTAATATTGGATTTTCTTTGAGATAATGAGAGTTGTCAGTTGAATTAAGACTCAAAACTAGACTTCAAACCATCATTAGAAATGTTGAATTAAAGCCCAACACAAGTCCATCCCAATAATCCAATGGTTATTTGTATAATCCACTGACTAAGAGGTTGTTTAATATCATTTCTCCTTTTTCTGTTCTTTGTTTTCGGCATTTTATTTTTTTAAGTTTTTTTTTAAGAAATTGAAATTTTATTTGGTTAGTTTGTGTTTTATTCTAGTGTTGTTTTTTTAGAAAATGGAGGTAGTCTTGACTGATTTGCTAGCAACCTGAACCCTTGGGGCTTGGACCTAGTCCCAAATGAAACCTGGGTATCCCAAACCCGGTTCTAGACTGCACCCTGGTAGCCCTACATCAAGTCTCGGTTCGAACCCAGGCATGATTTAAGCCCATGTTTCAAGAACTGATTTATTTCAAGAACGCGTTTTTATATTATAAAAAACTAGTTTTGAAAACCAATTTTTTGGTTTCGTAAGCTTCCAAAATTTGTTGCTCATTTTATTCTTTAAAGAACAAAAACCAAAAACCAAGTTTTCATGTTTGTTTTCAAAAAAAATAAAAACAAAAGTAGAAAACGAAAATATACCAAATTAGTTGTTCATCGAGAATGTCGAAGTGGTCTCATAAAATACAACAGGTAATAGACCCACAAAAGCGGCTCAGTGGTATATTCTTGAGGTCTCATATTCAATATTTTCCAATGCTTTATTAACAATATACTAAAAGGCGCGGGAAAACTACTGTAGCTTTCCCACGCCTTTCACTTTTTCATTTTTAATATATTACATTATTATAATTATTATATTATATTATAATTATAATTATATTATATTATATTATATTATAATCACTTTCCCATCTTTAATTATTATATTATAATAATAATTATACAATAATAATAATTATTATTATATTATAATATATACTAAAAATTAAATGAAATGATAAATTGTTTGTTTTTTAATTTTTTTGTTTTTTTTAATGAATTTTTTTATTTGATCCCGGATTTGATAGGTTAGCCTAATTTGATGAGTTACCCTGAATTTTTTTTTAATTAATTTTTTTATTTAGTTTAGTTTGTTAATGTTAATTTTTTTATTTAATTATCAAACTTTCATAACACGTATCCCGGGCTTGACGGGTTAACTTGGTTTGAGGGTTAATCCAGTTAATTTTGCGTAAACCTGTTAATTATTTTATTCTATCTAGTTATCAAACTTTCATGACACGAATTCCGGGTTTGACAGGTTAACCCAGTTAATTCATTTTTTTTCTTCATTAGTTTTTTCTTCCTATTGGTTTTTTTTTAAATTAATTTATTTAATTATCATACTTTTATAACACGAACTTATAACCAAATCCACATCTAATACTCCAGGGTCTAGTGTTGCAACCAGACTCATCTAAACTTAAATCATATAAGTTTAATATTACTATTAATATTATAAATAATATTCTTGGGTCAAGTGTTGCAGCTAGACCCAAGGTTTTTGGGTATATATCTACAGAAAGACCTAACACTCTTAGATCATAATATTTTTTTATATTTTTTATGCAAGAAAAAAAATTAACCCATAGCATATGCTTTTGTTTTTGTTTTTTTGTTTTTAGGTCTTTTACCATGAATAGCATGGTGCAATCCATAGTGAAAAAGCTTATGCCTTTAGTTTATTTTTTTTTTATAGTTTCTTAATATTAAAGTTTTTCTGTTTAGTTATCGGACTTTCATGACACGGATCCCGAGTTTGATGGTTTAACCTAGTTGATTCAGATTTTTTTTCTTTTTCTTTATTAGTTTTTTCCTTCCTATAAGTATTTTTCTCTTTGCTTTTTTCTTTTTAATTAATCTTTTTTTAAAAAAATTAGTTCATCAATATTAATTTTTTCTATTTAGTTATCACAATTTCATGACATGAATTCCAGGTTTGACAGGATAACTTGATTTGACAAGTTAACCAAATTGATTTTGATTTTTTTTCTTTTTTCTCATTAGTTTTTTTTTCTGATGGTTTTTTTTAATTAATCTATTTAATTATCATATTTTTATGACATGATCTTATAGTCAGACCTATATCCAATGTTATTATATTTGGTATTATAATCAAAACCACTTAAACTTGAGTCATGAAAGTTTAATGTTATTATTAATATTATAAATATTACTTTTAAGTCAGATATTACAACCAAATCCAAACCCAAGATTCTTTGATATAACTTTGCAAAAAAACCTAATACTTTTAAATCTTAATTTTTTTAATATTTTTTATATAAAATAAATTTACCCACAGCGTCACGCGGGTCATGTAACTAGTTCACTATCTCATATTCAATATTTTCCAATGCTTTATTCACTACATAGAGCGTGGGGCTTATAAATCTCAAGATTTGGGGTTTAGGACAACCACAAAAAAGGAACGTCCACAGAATTCTTCGCATGGAAAATAAAATATCAGGTGAGTCTAGAAAAGCGAGGGGACATTGATGGTTTCTCTGTTTTGAATCCTTCTCAAACTAGGTCAAATTATTCATTGCATCTCCAGCACATAATGGTATGTGATGTCATGCTAAAAAGTTCAAAAGCGACTGATATGCTTCACCTGTGGTGAACCTCACACATGCCTCCTGCTAGAAATATCAGTACCCCTCGGATATGCAAGCAACCATGATATGGAAAAGCTTTAATTTCTTAAATTCCAAGCTTTCTGCAATGATGCCTGGCTTCAGCTAATTACCCACTGACTACCATCAGCATTTTCAGCACTATAAACACACATTATGGACTAAATCAAATATCTATGTATTCACCCAAAACATTAAAGAAAAATGAAATGCTTATATTGTGTGGCAGAACACACTCAATATCTGCTGCAAACAAACATGCAATACTGAAACCTCGTACATTAAAGGAGAAGGAGCCAAATAACGAATTGTATAAATGAAACAAAGTTGCATGCTAACAATGAATAAATGGAAGCATGGCATTAAATTGCCAAAAAACTAACTCAGGTCATATTACGCGAGCACAGTCACCTGCGTCGCATATCAATGCAGCCTTCTGTGTGAAGATTTGACTAGCATGTTTAGGTTGGGCTTTACGATATTCTTCTGTAACAAAAGTAACAGCTTCTTCTGCTAGATTAGCATCTACAAATGCAAGACAACAACCTCTAAATCCAGCACCACTGAAACGAGTTCCATATACACCAGGTGCCCTCAGAAGAATCTCATACAGTTGTTTCAGTGGCTCACAACCTAAACAAAGTATGAATTGTAATGAGTGGAATTCAATTTGCTAAGTTCTACTACTTAAATATTAAAACTTCAGATCATTAACTAAGATAGATTCTTTTCATTTCCTTTGAGTCAAGGTACCCTCAAAGGTCAAGGAATCCTTTCTTAATAAAACCAACACTAGTGATTTTGTGACATTCCATCTGTATCATATTCCATCCTTAACCCTTCAGGATAGAACATTTTTTTCCTGCTATATGAGTTAATGCTTAAAAGTTATTCCAGCCTAAAAGGCCAGTTCTGACAAACTGCTCTCAACAGTGCATCTAGAAAGTTAAATGCATGACTTGGATAATTAAAAATAAATAAATAAATGATTCAATTTGATAATATTCTTATTACCAAACAATTCTTTCCTTTTTTTCATTTTTTGTTCAGAAAAAAGGTGGCTTTGGGATTGGCAGACAAGACATCTAAAACCCAAAAATTATTTCAGGTCATACCACATTCATAGTTCTGAATAGAACTTAAACCAGAGGCTGAGATGAGCTTTCCAAAATCTTCCAAGTTGCCAGAAGCCCAAGCTTCAAGACCTGAGATATTTATTAGGTTAACTAGCTATGATTTAGCACAAAATTAAAAGGTGAATATGAAAAAAGGAATATGCTTGCTATGAATTTATGAAAGCAAGTCGATGGAGCAGTACCTTTCATAACCCGCATATTCTCTGAGAAATAGTGTTCTGCCCTTTTCGCTAGATTGGGTTCTAATAAGCCCTGCAGACACAGAGAAACACAGATTAGACACAAATCTATCTACAAACTGTTATACTGGATTACTTTTTGTAAGAATGTATTAGTCTCTTCTTATACATTGATTATCAAGGAAAAAAAAACAAGGGAACTACATGCACATGAGAAAATTTATGATGAAATATGTAAACATATTGATAACTGGAAGGAATCACAAAATCAGCTAATGTAAAAAGGAGGCAGAAATCTGAATTTCAATTATCACATCTGATCAAAATTTCTACATGTTTTATTCAACATTAAACTATAAAATGGAAAAGGGTCATTTTTAACCTAAATGTTCTTTTCCTTTCAGCAACAAACAAAGCTCATCTGTCATGTATATGTGTGACAGAAAATTCACTTTCATCTTACACCTCCACACTTTTGCCAGGTCATTTTATTTCAGCTGTATTGAACATGAATCAATCAAGTAAAATGATTGGCAGTCTGCATTCAGCTTGAAGTCAAAATGCAACAGCCAAGAAACATGGAAAAAATTGGAACCAGATGAATTGGAGCAACGGCACTTACACTTGTGTGATAAAACATGCTTTAAAATCATTATCTTTGACAACTTGATGAATGAAAAAAATTTATGCACAAAAATAGTCAACTCTAATTCAATTACCTTGTGAGCCTCATATGCCTCTGGATCAACTGTTAGAAAAAAGAGGATGGCAATCAAAGTTACAATGCAAGAAAATAAAGAAGAATCGAATTCAAAATGGAAAAAAAAGAGTCAAGATGCTAGCCATTGCAAAGACGAGGCTCCAGGTTGTCATTTCCAGAGGCTCTGTTAATCAGATAACAATAACACAAAAACAATAAGCATGAAAGAAGAGGAATTGCATGTTCATATCATCTTGTTAAATTCATATTTAACAAAGTAAAAAAAAAAAAACCTTCACAGGAAATTGGGAGGTCGTGTTTAATGAATTTCAACATAACCTGGTGAGCAAGAGACTGAACTCTTTGGGAAAAGTGACTAGTTAATCCATGAACATATGTTAGAAAGAAAAGTATTTTTTCTTGATAATGTAAAGGTAATCAAGAAGTGTTTGCAGTAAAGGAACAAAGGAAAAACAATAATAATCAATTAGGAGATACTATGTCAACTAGATTTCAAGAAGCCCATTCCAAACACAAGCATTCCTATTAGATCACATTTGCAGAGGTAAAGTCATGTCATAACTGCCTGAATTCAAGAAACATCCCGAAAGATATGGTAGGTGTTTTCATATAGGCACCAGATTAGCAAAAGAAATTATAAACTATGAATAAAACAAGTCCTAAACAAAACTACTTTTAGGAAATCAAACTAAAAATTCCTAACTAACAGAATTCCTAATAACTAAAAAATTCAAGTTTCCTAATAACTAAAAAAATTCAAGTTTTTGTTCTTCAACAACAAATTGACTTGATACATAGATGGTCCTCCTGCATAGGAACCAAACACAACTAATAAATATAAAAGGAACAATGTTGAATCCCAGACCGGAGCTGCTTTAGCCACTAAAGGGGGAAAGGGGGGGGGGAATCACAAATAGGATACAGAGTAAAAAATTAAAAATCCCAAAAGACATAACTTCATTTGTATATTTTTCCTGAAACAAATTTTCTATGTATTGTGTTTACTAGTCCTCTACCATTCATTTTCTTCTTTTTCCCCTGTATTGTATTACTAGTCCTCCAGCATCATGGTCTTGGAAGGTTTGAAACAGGGTATACAATCACCTTACGCACGAACAAAATGTAGACACAATATTAAAAGAGCCATTTAATCTCAGAAGCGAAAAGAATCATACTTGAGAAGAATTCTAGCAGCCTCATGGCACTCTACCACACGAAGATTATATCCAGGGCTGTTAGTCAAGGCATTCCTCAAGCCTGAGAATGCCAATAATATTTTGTAGGATTTATGGAAGTCGCCTTGCTTTGGTGAAGGAACAAGCTTGTGTTCTTTAGTCTATCAATTGAACAAGACAAATGCTACAATGTGTTGGTATCAAATAAAGAAAGAGCGCAAAATGACATTTTTTTCAAAGAAAGCAGCTAGCAATGTGCTTTTGCAAATTCAGGTAAACTAAGTAATGACATTAGTTAGTCATAAACAAAATCTGCAAAGAATAATTGTTGCAACAGAGGCAAAATAATCATTCAAGAAAAATGTCCATCTCCGTAATGCAGAAAATAATATGGGATTCAGTGACTGTAGAGGTTCTCAAAACACCAAACTAAAATAGCAAGACATATTGATGAAACCTTAACGAGGATGCATTTGAGTTCAGATCTATTATATAAATTTTTTTAGGATTAATTTTAACTATGTAGAAATGCACCACATGATCATTTACACAAGGCACTTGCTGTGGTAAACAAGACTTGGTTCAATTTACAACTACCATTTGCTATTATGAAGGTGGTATGAAGCCATGAAATTAAATGATGCTCAACTTACAACAAGCCCATCAGATAAACAGGGAAAATGTAGTTAAAATCACAGAAATAAAATTTCATTCTGCAATCTGAAAATTTAGAGGGTGTGTTGCTTAAAGATATAGAATACAGGCACATGTATCCAATCATTACCTTGCAGTTCATGTGTGTAAGGAAACCATGGCTTGAAAGCAATATTGCCGATTGATCCAATATGCCATTTTTCAGACCCAAATATTCATTTTCAATCAACCTGTAAGTTCAGAATAGTAAGATTTGTAGAGGCCTAAAACTTTGAAAGAACTGAGGTGCTTTGATGGCTCAGAGAGTCTATCGCATCTAAATCAGAGCAGCTGAGTTAGTATGGAGTAAGCAACAATCAGTACTTGACAAACATTCATTCATATCACGAAGGATAGGGATATTCCTACATTTAGGAGGTATACACAAGGATATAGCAGGCAGAAGGCCGTACACACCCATGAAAGAGATGCTTCTTTCAGGAAGTTAAAGGGTCCTGGTCTAGAGCTGTTTCATAGAATGCAACATCAACTATCAAGCCAAAATTCTTAAAAGATGCTGCATGGTATATAGCGACAGTCATTTATTTTTCTCAATGCTATTTCTCTGGTTATAGAAATAGTTTCTTAAATTATATTCATCACTCTTTTTCCCCCAGATATGATAATGAAAATACTAGGATACTATGACAACTGAAAGATAGACACAAAGGAGCCACTAGAATCTTGAAAAAAAAATATGGACAAAGATGAGGGTGCAAAATTTTGGACCTCATAGTGCCTAATCCAATCAAAACTGAAGGAGAGAGCCACTAAAAAGCAACTAAAGTTTTCTCTACTTTGATTAGCTGGCTGAGTTATAATGAGATGTCAAGTCAAGGTAGATGTCAATTGGTTCACCAAATTCAAAGTTCATTAAGGCTATGCTCCAGTCAGCAACAAGACATACATGCAACAAATCAATTAGCAGATACTAGTATTACAGAAACCTACCTATCATATTCAATATTTTCAGTGGGAGTCATGGTCAACTTATTTGCAGTTTCAAAAGCCAGCAGGTATGCAACTCCAGCCTGTCAAATATACCAATACAGATATATCATGAGCAAAAACTGGGAAGTTCTTGACAGGGATAGGGAAGAAGAAGATAACGCCTCAAAATGCTAGTGGGAGATAATACATTGAAGGAAGAGGAAGAAAAGATAACATGGGAAGGTATAGAAGCAACTGGCATCAAAGGCAAAGAATTAAAACCACACTTACAGCGGCAGAAGAGCTAAGGCCTGAACTGTCAAGACCTTCAGAACCACATATGTATCCTGTGATGCCCTGTGGTGTTTTAGAAGTCATTTTGTGTTAATGAAATATATAAAATCTTACAAGAGATAAAAAGGCACATCTCCCTGCATTTTAGCCTGTACTAATGGCTAAGTCAGAATGTTTATATAAAACAAGTATTTGTTCAGAGTATTTTATTGGGAACAAAAGGAAATAAATTACAAAATGAAGAATAAGACGCCCCCAGAAAAGCATTAAAGTAAAACAGCTAGCTGATACTGATGAATGTTTGCGATTGTAACTCCTGTAGAAATACTGGAAGAGAACACCACAATGAGGCCAATAAATGACCCCCTATTATTTTAAACAAGTTGTCAAAGAAAATTCCTCTGTACACACAGACCAGATCACTCTTCAAATATTGCACAACTTCAAAGATCATTGCAACTTTCAATTTGTTAATGTTTAATAGTAGAAAATGTTTTTCCCCTAAAATCAGTATGCTTCACATAAGGAATTTTCTGATCTTTATTTTATTCAACCATTTTCGTGTCCCTTCTTTTTTTTCTTTTATTATGCCTCCTGCCATTTCCCCTTCAATCCTTGGTTTACCTATCCTCTTCTGGATGGTTGGTTCACTGAGGAGGCCTGGAAAGGTCTTCATTTCATGAAAGCTCTTTAAGGAATCCTGGGCTTATCTGGAAGGAGTTAGAGAATTTACAGGATGGTGGTGAGAGTGGAGGTGTCAAACAGGATCGTCAGCAATCAATAGCTCAAGGTCATTTCTTTAAGATTTTACTATTAGCTGTCATTTTCAAATCCAAAACAAACAAAGAACTCCTCTAAACTTTACCACTACGTTCAATAAAAGAAAAGTTAAAAGCAAAAGAAATAAATAATAAATAAATACAATGAAACCTAAAATGACAGAAATAAATAATAAATAAATACAATGAAAGCACTACCTTAATCTTCTTTTCAACAAGAACAAAAGCAGCAGCGGCAGCAACATTAATAATAATACTAATAATAATTGGGGGGGGGAGGGGGGGCACAAAAAAGAAATCCTCGTATGAAATTATGAAATTATAAATCAATTAATGAGATGATGATGGCTATTGATAGAGCCTGAATGTTATGATTCTCTGATAAACTATGTAAAAGAGAGCCTACATGAGCAACCTAAAATGATTAGCTTGGACAATGTGAATACCCTAGAAACCTAATTTGGAATTTGATGGAAGTTAATGGAGTACAAAAGCAAAATATTCAAACCTGAGTAAGAGAGATCCCCCTGCTCTGTAGTGCATAGACAGCTCCTCTAGCAAAATTTCCCCAGTTATCTGCTTCCTGTAGTTTTGGGGAATCAGTTGCATGGGGCTCTCCTTTTTTCCTAATGGGTCTGGGTTGCTGAACTTCATCAACGCTATAAACCCAAGGCATGATACAAGATATAAATCATTCAGAGTAAGGCTACTAAGAAATGCAATGGGATGCAATTAAAAATCCACTTGCCTGTGATTGAAAATTTTGCAAGTACTTGGATGAACACACGCAAATAAAGTTGTAAACTACAATTTCTAACCATAAATTTTTTTACATTCAATTAAATTTGAATGGCAAAGGCAGTTTGATGATTTCACCATGTTACTCTGGAAGCCCTGGAGTACATAATAAACTCACAAAAGATGTTCATACACTAGCAGTATTTAGTGAAAGAATAAGTCAAATGTATATTGTCACTGAATCACAAGATGCAAACTAAAGACAAACACACATTCTGTTGCTTTTGATGGCCTGATGGTGGAGCAGGTCCCCTTGAGAATGATAGATGGGAAGGCACTTTCTTCTCTTTAAGGAGATGGATTCCTCTTGTATGTGTTTATCTAGCAGTCCCTTATATTACATCATGCATGTCAAGTACATTGAAGTACCATCATGGATATTTCCATATATCTGTCAGAAATTTACGTTGTGGAGAAGCAAATGAAAATTTGTAAACCAATTTCATTCTTGAACATGTACAAACTATTTTACTCTCATCTAGCTTGGAAGTGTTGAATTAACTCTTTTCATAGGCAAAATATGTTTGAATCAAGGACATGTGTCATACGAATGGCAAAAACCTGATGTTAAAATGTAAATTAAGAAGCTTTAGCTACTGCAATGGGCTATAGATGCATCAGAAAATGAAAAGTGATTACAAGAACAATAACCACACCTGAACCTTACTTCTCCTTTGAACTGTCCTGATCGCAGTATAACCTACACCAAGTGTTGAAAGGGCAGTAAGAGAAAAATGACATTGAGAGCAGCTAAGGAAAAGGAATGTGATGATAATTGCATGGGCAAAGCATCAAAACACTTTTGAAGCTTTCAGATGGAGAAATTGATAATGCTGTCCCAATCTGATAAGCTAGATCCAATTACAACAAACTTAAGAAAGCAAAATGCTGTGTCATCCCACCTTAATCTAATCATTTAACTAAGAACAATTCAAGTCACAGGCTCCCCCATTACCATGATCTTATGTAGACATCATATTTTCCCTTAGGTTACTCATCATCAATAGCCAAAAGCAATATTCTTTGGCAACTGAGGGGACAAAACTAAAATTTTCTACTCCAATCTCAACAGTTATTGAGTTGAGATTTGTGCACGTAAAGACTCAAATATTGCAAGACCCTACAAGCAAGGCACAGAATCTACAGTGGTACAGGTTAAAAAACAACGGCCTGCTGCTCTAATCAGCCCCCCTAACACTTGGTGGCTTGAACTCTCAGCCACAACATATGCCCATTTGGAACACATTTGCATCTTGGTCTTATGATGTGTGATACGAAAAACAATCATGTTATTGAAGGGTTTCAAACCTTTATTGCCAAATGCCTAGGTGATCTTTGGAACTCTACGCCCCATACTATTTACAAAATCATCACAGGAAATGTTAATCCTAGATACTGTCGTTATGATCTACTGCATTCCAAAATAAATGCCATAGAGAGATACAATTTCCCGACTCAATCCCCAATCAACCCTCACTAGTTCATAAAGTCATAGACTGAGAATGCCATCGGAAGATTTTACCTCAGTATCATCAGAAGGAATAAACCCCAGAAGTATTCCTTTATTTATTGTCATAGCCGAAACAGTTCCACCCTGCTAGCATTGAATTGCAGAACAAATTTCAATCTTTTCCAGTATTGATAAAACTTATTGATGTTGATTTTCAATCGCAACACCGTGAAAATACTAAGAACAGTATATTAAACAGAACCTGATGATCAATGTGAGCACCAAGTGGACAAATCCGATAAGGAGAGACCACAACTCTCACTTCTTCAGGACCTCTTCCAGCCATTGCAGAAACAATCTCCTTTATTTCGTTTAGCTGCAAAACAAAAACATTCAAAAAAATCAAAACAATACAACAGAAAACAAATGAAAGTTGGAATGAGTGAAAAGCCAGCATCTTTCAGTCAAAAAATGCCACACCATAAAAACCATTGTCTCAAATCAAGATTTCAATAACATAAAAATAAATCCCATAAAAAGTTCCGATTGGATCAAGCTAAATTATATATCTCAAATCAAGATTTCAATAACATAAAAATAAATCCCATAAAAAGTTCCGATTGGATCAAGCTAAATTATAAAAAAAAAAAAAAATTCAGACAAATTTAAGCAACCCCATCGAGAAATAACACACGTTGTAACAAAAAAATCAAGAGTTTTACCTCATTTTCTCTAGGCCAAGAAACTCCACTCATTGTTTTCGAGTTTTTTACTTACTCGGAGATAATTTCTTTTTTTTATTATTTGGGCTGCCACAATACGACAGAGAGATTGCCTGAACAAATTTGGACGAAATGACTTGCATCCACACAGTTAATACCTTTCGTTTTTGGAGGAAAAGTGAAATTTAAGGACGAAAAATAACTTTAATTGGCGGCAGAGGTGACTATATTACTAACCAAAATTAAAGCGTCGCTAAGCTTTGATGTAATCAAATGGAAGCAATTTGAAGTGTCATTGACACCAAAGCACGTAATCAATAATAAATGACTAATCGTATCAACCGCATTTTGCAAGATTGATAGCCGACAGCATTTGACCTTTTACCCTCTCTTTTTTCTCTACTTTACATGAAAGCTAACAAGGACATCATGAGTTCGTTGCCCTTGACATGAAATCACTTCAAGGAGAATCCACTCTTCAAGCATGAGAAAAGTTGAACATGATTTTTCCTTACCACCCAATTTGTACATTTGAGCAAAAAGATGATCTCTGCTAACTTTGCAATGCAGAAAAGTGACTACACATCTATCTAACGTGAAATTATGAAGAACAAGCTTCCTTCTTCGACTTTTATTTTCAATACTTTTTTAGATGACTATACAAGTGCAAGGATGAGCTTAATCAGTTCAGGAATACAAGGACTAAATGAATATTTCTTAGATGGTATAAAATCTCCTTTTCCACGTGATTTTAACCCAATTTCTTTCAAACCTTGGGCTGGCTCCACTCACCATGGAGACTTTTCGTGACCCTTGTGCTTTTTTTTGACAAGACTTTTCGTGACCCTTGTGCTTTTTTTTTGACAATCATGAATCATGCTTCTGATTTAATTTCAGAATTAATCCAAATCTACCTTGTTAATTTATCTAATATCAAATTAACTCAGCTTCCAAATAAAATAAATATTCCACTAAATACCAGTAAATAATATATAAATAAAGAGTGAAATACCGAAACTCCTTTTTCGAGGATTTGACTAATCAAGCCCTACAAAACATATAAAGAAAATTAAGAAGGGCAAATCAGTCATAGAAATTAAAGCCAAGTCCTGTTAAATTTATACCAATGAGCATTTCACTCGTCTCTGGCACTCTCTTTTTCCACTTCGAATACGAACTACTCTCACTTTATCTATCACGCCAACCCTCTCCTCATTGGCAAATCCAGCGACAATGAAGGTAAACAAGATCGGTCAGATTGTCAGGTTCAAGTTATTCATGCACCGTTGGAAGCTAAGGAGTCTTGGAACCCTGAGAAGAAGCCATCAAAAATCGGGGGCTCTAACCAAGAAAACACCACCAGCTGGGTATCTTGCAGTTTATGTTGGGATGCAAGAAAAGAGGTTCTTGATTCCTACAAGGTTTCTACACATGCCTGTTTTTGTAGGTTTGTTAAAGAAAACAGAAGAGGAGTTTGGGTTTAAATGTAATGGAGGACTTGTTTTGCTTTGTGAGGTTGAGTTTTTTGAAGAGGTTTTAAGGTTGTTAGATAAAGACGAGACTAGATTTGGTAGGTTTGGTTTAGAGGATTATTTCAAGATTGTTTCTTGTGAAGTGGGTTTTGATTCTTGCAAGGAAACAACTAATGTTTTTACTCCATTGTTAGAGAAAGCTAGGGTATGACAGTGTGAGGGTCCTTTTTTTAAGACTAGGATCTCATTTTCCTTTTTCCAAAATTATGGAGTTTTTTGGGCTATGACCATCCTTGTGCCCATCTTTCAAACAGTGTTTGATGGGTTTCAATGAGATGTTGTTGAAGCTTTTTCCTTCCTCACTAATGTCTGGAGTTTTTCTAGCAAGTAGGCTTCTATTTGTTTTGATGATGCCAAAGCTTATCTCTTAGGATTTTGTGGGCATTGCTTTGTTAAGAGTGATGTTTTGCTCATGATGATGATGATTTATATTAATAAAATTTTCATGTGATTAATTGTGATTGCTGCTTCTTCTTTTTTTTTTTCTTAATTTTCAGTTGCTGATATTTTACTCTCTTTTTTTCATATATAGTATTTTTGAATTTGGAGATTCGAAACTTGGTTGCTCCGACCTTGTGAGACTTTAATCGCTAATCCAATGCCTCTATATCTTGTTCCCTCTCAATCCCTTTTTCTTTTTTTAAATTAATGTAGGTATTCGGACCAGTTTACGCGTACCATAATTAATTTTATGAATTTTAAAATTAACAATCATGTAAGTCTCCAGTTACCATCGTAAGCAACCATCTCAATCCATCTCTTAATTACTTTAAAGAAATCAACATTTTTTTTATTGTTCATTCTTTCTCACAATATATCATGGATTAGAGTGGTTTTTCTGTAACCATCTCAATTATTTTTTTATAATAATGGGTATGTTTTATTTTTAAAGAGGTTGGTAAAATTTATTTATGAGTTTTTATTTTTATTTTTATATAGATTGATCTTTTTTTAAATAATTAATTTTTTATAAGATTTTTAATATATAAAATCTTGCATAGTATTTTATATATAAATATATATATTTTGTTCATGCAATTTGAAAAGTTAATACGGATTGAAATATTTTTTTAATTTTATTGTTCGACCTTATTTTTTATTTTTTTATTGTTTTCTTATATTTTTATCATATTATTAAATTAATTAAAATTTAATCCAGTTATAAAATTTCTCCACCTAAACTTTTTTCTTTCTAGTAAAAAAAACAAATTGGAGCTTAGATGTTTTATGAATATTGTGTGTGTGTATAATATACACCTAAACTTTTGTATTAAATTGTTATTTTTTATTTGATATTAATATATTAATTTTTAATCATGTTATTAAATTAACAAAGTTTATAAACCTCATCCAACTCAATATCCAGAATCTTAATCTATTTTTTTTAAAAAAAATTATATTATTTTGATATTTTTTATGATAAAAAAAAAAAAGTTAGGCCCACATTAGCTATCTATTTAATTTCCATTATACTATAATAGGTGATGCAATTAATTTTGAAAAGTTTCTTGCTTTCTTTTGAGTAGATAGTTGTTGATTGAATGATTATTTCCATACCAATTTGGTTGCGATTTTTGTACTCCTTTTGTCTTCATTAGATTGGTTTTGTACCTGAAATGGTTACTGATCTCATTGAGATTCAAAGGGAGAATATACCAATCTGCAAAGATTTTAAGAAATCTTCCATTTTCCATTCCAAGCACAATCTGGCTATAAAGCTCAATCTCCAAATTGCTGATAAAGAAAACAGTATGGTGACAGACGTTCAAGAGACCCCACTCAGATTTGCGAAACTACTGCTAATTTAATTAGAAAACAACAATCCTTTGAAACTTAAAATAATGAAAAACCTTTAAAAATTGTTTTTTAAAATGTATTTTTTTTTAATGTTGATTGAGCATAAGCATAATCAGACTGTTTTTGCTATAAGATTCAAACTGTCTTTGGTATTAAAGTACCATTGTGTTTTATAAAAGTGTATTTAATATTGATTGATGGTGTTTACATAAAATTCTTCAATTATTCTTTACTATACTAAAAGATACCGGATAAAACCCCAACTAGTGTTTTATTATTTACATGTGCATTCAAGCACCTGCCCGTAAGATTATTGTAATTTTAAATAAATATTATTATATTTTATTAGTTTTTAATTTTATAATCATTTATTTTTATTATTATATAATTAAATAAAAAATTATTAAAAAATAAAATTATTAAACTTAGTAAAGTTTATGACCCACATCATGGGTTTAATAAGTTAAGTTATAAAGCTCAAATCGATCAAATATATCACTATCTCAATATTTTAAAAACATTATCTTAATTTTTTAAGTGAAACTACTTTTTTACTAGTTATCTGAGTTGTTTTTTGACTTATAAGGTTGATTAGGTTATTTCAATGCAACTCTAAGGCATGCTAATTTTAAACTCAAGCTATATAAAAAGTTGGATAAGGAGATTTCAAAGTTGATAATTTGACTCAGGTTTAACAAGAATGTCAAATATTTTCCTATCACTTTGATTTTTTTTTTTAATGTTTAAAATATTTTTGATACGACCCATAGCATAGCGTAAGCCAGCCTTTCACTATTCTTATGAGTAGTAAAAGAGCTAGCCCTTTTTTCTTTTTTCTTTTTAATTTTACCCTCTTTTTTATGCTTTTGATTAATTTTTTTTATTTATTTTAATTCATCCTTCTACATTTAGTTGCTCTTAAATTGGTTTTCAAAATTTATTTTAATTTATTTTTTATAAAGTTATCACATCTCGAACAAATAATATAACATTTAGGTAGTGCTTAATTTTAGTATGTGTCTAATTTTGTTATCATATTATTAAATAAAAAAGTCGTAATAAACAAATTTGGTAAACCTAGTGGAGTACATTATCCAAGTCACGGTTTTGATGCATTAAACCGTAAAAACTCGGATTGATTCAATATATTATTATCTTAATATTAAAAAATATCATCTTGAAATTAATTTTAAAGTCAAACCATACTTTTTACCAATCATTTTGGTTATTTTTGGACTTATCAAATCTATTTGGTCATATAGAATCTACTCCCACATGGGTTGATTTTAAACCTGGACTAGGTAAAGAGTCAAATCAAGAGATTTAAAGATTTGATATGTTGGATAGATTTTATAACTATACTAGATGGTTTCTAGTGGCTTGAATATTATTTTTTACATTAAAAAAATCGATATAATTCATAGCACAACGCAAATTAGTAAACTATTAATATCTGTTTCATTGTCACAAAAAAGAAAAGAAAAGGTCATAAAAAAATAATAAAGAAGAGAGAAAGTCTTTTATTGTCATATATTAGCAATCAAAAACTGTTATTGGTGTCGATGAGTTTCATTGGATAAGAAAAGTTATATTTGAAATGTTTTTTTATCATTTATATTATCGGAAAACTAGATTAGGTTGAGGAGAATTAATTTTTTCAGTTTAATTATATGTTTTTTAAATGAAATGGGGATTTTTCAAACTAATATATAGGGTTTTTAAGAGTTTAAAAGAGTTTTTAGGCTAAAATGGATTGAAAAAATGATTTTTTGGTGTAGAAAACTATTTGCTTGATTTTTCAACCACCTCTCTAGTGGTTCATTTCTGAAAAAGAAGATGATGGAATTTGTATTTTTTTTTCAAAAAAATTATTTGTTCAATAAAAAAAGTCTTGTAAGTATAGCCCATTGTATTCTTATGCTTGAGCATTGGGCCACCCAACCCAAGTATTTGCTAGC